CAAGGCTGTCGAGGGTCGCAAGGAAGGAGACTTTAGAAGTCTGCATGCGCGTCTTATTGCCAACGCCGAAGAGATTGCCTTCTACGGTGGTGCTGATATGGAGAAGACGTTCCTGAACAGGGAGTTCAAGTCTCTCAAGACCTGGATGGAGGGCATCTACATGCTCAAGATCCGCTACAACATGCTCGAAGATTTTATCCTCAAGTACAGTTGGAGTGCGTATGGCTACCTGCTGTCATCGCTCCCAGTTTTCTTGCCCGCCTGGGGTGGTCTTGGTGGTGCCGCAGAGTTGGCTGAGACAGCTGCCAAGGGCAGCAGAGAGCGTGGCCGTATGAAGGAGTTCATCACCAACAAGCGTCTTATGCTTTCGCTGGCCGATGCCGGTGGAAGAATGATGTACTCCATCAAGGACCTTTCAGAACTTGCTGGCTACACCAGCAGAGTATACACTCTGATCTCCACCCTTCACCGAGTCCATGCCAATGCGTACTATCTACGCGGGCAACAGAATGAGCTGTACTCCCTTTCTGACGTTCAAGGTACGATTCAGAAGGGATTCGACGGTGTTCGTTTGGAGGGTGTCCCTGTTGTTGCCCCAGCATTGTGGCCCAACGGCGGCGAGGAATTGATGGAGTCGTTGTCCATGGTGGTGAGAAGAGGAGAGCATCTTTTGGTAAGTAGAGCCCCGCCAAAGGCCAGTTCAACCCTAACACAACAAGATCTCCGGCTCCAACGGTGTTGGCAAGACGGCCATTGCCCGTGTGCTCGCCGGACTTTGGCCCGTCTACCGTGGATTGGTTAGTCGGCCCAAGGATATTGGTCAAGACGGCATCATGTTCTTGCCACAAAGGCCATATCTCAGCATTGGTACCCTCCGTGACCAAGTCATCTACCCTGACGGCCACCATGATATGCGTGAGAAGCGAAAGTCTGAGGACGACTTGAAGCGCATCCTGGAAGAAGCTCGCCTGGGATACCTCCCTGACCGCGAGGGCGGCTGGGATACTCGCAAGGAGTGGAAGGATGTACTGAGCGGTGGCGAGAAGCAGAGAATGGGTTTTGCTCGCATGCTTTACCATGAACCTCAGTACGCCATCGTTGATGAGGGCACCAGCGCCGTTTCCCAGGATGTTGAAGGATACCTCTACGAGATGTGCAAGGAGAAGGGCATCAGTAAGTCACAGCTCTGCAGCGCGAAGACCGTAGTTGTTAACGACGCGGACAGCACTCATCACCATTTCTACACGTGCCTCCCTCAAGAAGTATCACACCTACAACCTCATCCTCGGCATGGGTGAGCGCGGTGACGAGTGGGAATTTGAGAGAATCGGAACGGAGAGGGAGAAGATGCAGGTCGAGAAGGAGCTGCAAGATCTCCGCGAGCGCCTTGAGCAGGTGGAGACGTGGAAGGCAAGGCGTCAAGAGATTGAGGAGGAGCTGTCGCGGGTCTGGGTTGCTGGGGGCGATGCCTTGGATCCCCCATCATACGCCGAGAGCGAGAGCGACAGCATGAAGAGTAAGGGTAAGGAGGTGGCCCAGGAAGGTGACGCGTGAAGTGGAACATTTGGCTCAACGTTGCTGCTGTAAAACTACAGGATACATTCGGCGTGTGAATGGGAGAGGGAGGATCAGCATCATCACATTGTAGAAGAGGACAATCACTCCAGAAATCTGTTGATAGATTCCGCGATGTCAGTGGCTTAAGCACCAATACACATTTGAACATAAATATCCCCTCCGCCGCACTTTCCTCGCCCGCCAAGCAGATCATTATATCGGGTGCACGCCTTTCTATGACCGCCAAGGCCTCCCCCCACGACATTCTCACTTCCACTGCGTCCGCCCCTCGCCCCTGAGTCTTTGCCAACTTCGGAGACCTCCGTGCCGGTCTTTCCTCAGTTTTCAGACGCAGAACCACAAATGCAACTCCCGAGGATGACTTTAGAGGAGAGGTTCATTGCCCCCCACTGTCCCAACTACGAAGCCGTCGCGCCATCCAGCCGTTCCTTAGTCCGTCCCTGTCATCCATTCCCGGAAGTAGTTAGCCATGTCTGACTATCAGCATCATCAACCAATGAGGGCTTTGACTAGACTGCCACTATCGCTCAGACTATTTGCTGGGCCAACTTGTGGGGTTCCATTCCGACGTCGAGCTTCTTTTCCCTTGTTCAATTCGCCGTCCTGGTTTCTGACGGTTTGCCCGCTGGCCTGTTACCTTAACAGTCGACAGAGAACCGGCCTCGCATATCTATGCGGACTCAATCATTCCCTGCAAGCCTCGTGGTAGTGCCGGGTCCCGCGATAGCAGGTTTTAGATGACCCTGTCCAAGGTGACAGCGACATATCTTGGGAGCCGCCAAATGGGGAATTGTGTTCGACCTCCCCGCTGCAGAGTGCCAGCTGGACCCCTGCTCGGAAGGAAGCTCTTCCCGTGGCGGGCGACAACGCACCTCTCACGTATGTCCTGGCCACAGAGGAAGTCTTGGAATCTAGAGCTGGCAAGCGCCAGGCTCAGCTGAACGTCGACGACGCCGAGTCCCTGCCCTGCCCTGTCCCGCATCTTGAACTCAGCCTCCAGACAGGGCACAGCACACCGACCGCTTCCCACCATACCTCAAAGTTCTAGAAGAGATAGCTCGATCCTCGGCGGCATTCCTAATGCGGCTCTCACTGCGGCCGGCCAACATGGTTCGGACAGCAGCTGGTCCCCCAGTAATCACGTATCAGTCCCCAAGAGATCTCTGAAACGAGGCCCTTTCTTTGCTCCTCCTCCTCCCCACCCGTTCGTTCCTTTGTCCTTACCAGGCCCGGCTCCCAGGTTGTCGATCTTTGCCCCCAAATCCAACACGCCATTCTTCCTTTGTCCTACTTTCCCTCGGGGGCTCCAAGCTGAGTCGCGAACGCTTGCTTGAATGGAAAGTCAGAAAATCATCCGTTGCTGTCTCTACACACGCGCGGCGTTCAGACTTACCCCGTAGAACCCGATTCCCTTTTGTCCCTTGCCTTGATATATCAGGTCCTTCGATCGTCGATCAGTGTCTTTGATCAACTTAGAACCCGCTCTCCCCCTTGCAAATCCCAGAACCACGGTCCAGAGAGCCGCAAACGTTCTCTTACACAGTCAGATCGTTACACTTCGAGAGATTGGGATTCCACATCCTATCCCCCATCTATTGCGGCTCAAATCTCTCCGGGGTCTTCATCGAGGCACATGCTTTTTCAATCCTAGCGGATGCCAACAGCCACATACACACGCATAATAAGGACTGACGACATTGCAATCTCACATCCCGACCATCACTTGGCACAATATAACAAAAAAGAGCCCCGATATCACACCCCGGGTTGTACAATCTCACTTGATTACACCAAAAACTTAAGTCACAGAGGCGGAAACACCAGGCACAAACATGCCCAAGTCTCCCTCCACCTCGGTCCGCACAGCAATGATGCTGGCAGGCCGCATGCCCGTGATAGCAGAAGACGACTCCCTCCCCGCCGTCACGCACCCGTCCCAGGCAGCCCTCCCACCTCCGCCTCCCTCCCGCAGCACAAAACCGAAACTGTACGGCCGCCCTCAGAAGATCGCACACCCGTTCCATCCATACCCGTACCCGACCGTCCCGCCGCCCGCCTACTCGCGCAGCTCCTCTCGCGAAAGCTCCCGGAGCACCGTCAGCACGAGGAGCCTCCTCTCCGGCGGCTCCTCGGCCGGCAGCAGCATCGCCGGCGGCAGCGGGCCCAACTCTGGGGCCTCGACGCCCCGGAGCACGTACAAGGGCCGCTCGCAGCTCCTCCCCATCACAACCCCCATGGGACCGATAGAAAACAGGGACGAAAAGTTTTTAAAGGCAAAGGAACTGAGGAGGCGGAGATGGTACATGGTCGTCCTGCTCGTCATAATCATCGGCCTCGTGGTCGGTTTGGCCGCAGGGCTTACCATCTCCTCGCGCAAACAAACGTAACCCCCACCCCCCTTGCTCATTCTCACTTACACCAAAGAAGCTAACAAACCATTTTCCCCACCCCTCAGCGCGATCACGCCAGCAAACACAACCGTCCCAAACATCTTCCCAGCAGGCTCCTTCGCCTTCAACACGGCCCTCGCAGACGTGGCCACAAACTGCACCTCCAACCCGGCGACGTGGCGCTGCTTCCCCTACGAGACGTACAACCAGTCCCTCACCTCGGGCTCCGCGAACGGCTCTCTCGCCACGTACTACTGGACCATCACCCCCAGGAACTCGTACACCTACCAGATCTCCTCGTCCGCGAACCCCTTCTCCCCGCAGTTCGCGAACCTCAGCATGGCCCTCTTCGACGGCAACTCGTACAACGAGCGCCTCGTCTTCAACTTTACTCTCGCAAAGAGCGTCGTCCCTGCCGAGGCCATCGCGGCGGATAACAAGGCCGCGACGTGCGTGTACGCCGACACGGCGTTCAGCGCGACGCTGTGGACGCGGAAGAATAGCAGCGTCGGCGCCGGGTCGGCTGCGGCGGACGGGAACGTGACGGCCGTGTCGGACGGGAGCAAGTGGGCCAATTGGCCCGGGCAGATTGAGATTACGCAGATTAAGAGCGGCGGCGGGCCGGAGTGTAAGGACTCTGACGGGAACGCGGTCAGTGTGGCGGCGGGTGAGGGGCAGTGCGAGTGTCGGTATGCCAACTTTGGATTGGGGGCCTGAAAAAGTTGTGATCTTATAAATGTGTGTGTATATGGAGTTGGACATGGACTGGGCCGGTAGGGACGGATAAAGCATTAGCATAGCACGAGATCTCAAAGATACCCTTCGTTTGAACACAACATCATGTTTGGAAATTGAATCGTATGTGGAATGAATAATTCTATGACATGACTTTGTGGCATTATAGTCCGTCTATCCTAAAACTCCTCTAAACCCCATATCTAAACCAGAATTCTACCATGGTATATTGTAAACCTGTAAATCAGCCGTTCAACACCGTCCCTCATTAAACATAGCTCGGGCCAGCCGAAGCTCCTATTTGCTCTGACCACCACCAGAGAAGGGTACTACTAAGTCTTCAAACGGACCAAGATGCATCTCCAAATCATCAGAGGCGACATCGGGGTACGGATCGTAGCTGTGCTGCTCAATCAATTTCTGACGATAGCTCTTCTCATCTTGGGGGGGCTGCTGTTGCTGCCCTGGTTCGTTGTCAGTTTTGGGGATCGGCGGTACTAACCCTTTTCTCTGGCCGGGCATCCAGTGCTGCGGCGGTGCTTGTACGGGAGGGAAGGGGGTCAGATACCGACCGGGTTGCTGCTGCTGATGAGGCAGAGGAGCGAAGGCGTCTGTGTTGCTGTTGTTGGGTCTCCAGTGCGGTGGCTGGGGTTGCTGGGGTTGAAACTGGTGGTTGCTCTGGTTGAAGTTATGGTTCGGGTTCATGGGTTGCCATGGTCGTTGTGGCTGCTGCTGCGGCATTGGAGCTGGAAAGGGGTTCACGTAGGGTTGCCACTGTGGAGGAAGAGGCAGCCCTGGAGGGGGGACAGGAAGCCCAGGGATGGGAAGAGGCAATCCTGGAGGGGGAATGAAAACGGGGGGAGGGTTCGGGTTGGGAGTTTGCCATTGCTGCTGGGGCTGGCCCTGAACAGGCAAACCGTTGGGAGGGTTCGCGAATTGTCCGTTTGGCTGGAAAGTTGCTGCGGCCGGGTTGAGACTCGGGCCCCGCTGATGTCCTTGTCCTCCTGGTTGTTGGCCTCCCGGCTGCTGTAGTGGCACTTGTTGCTGTAGTACCGACGGCGTTGGTACTGGCCCTTGCCCACAACTCCGAGGATAGCGCATGCGTCTGAAGGTCTGGGGAGGATCCTTCTTCTCGATGGGTGTCGCGTCATATAGCTCGACGTCGCGGAAGGCGTCGATGATCATCTGCTGGGGCGGCGGCCGCTGTCTATCGCGGACGAAGTCGAACCCTTCTTGTCTCTGTGGCATGGGATACACGGTGCCTGTTTGAATCTGGTTCAGAGTCATCTGCTGCTGCTGCTGCTGCTGACCGCCTTGCTGGATCGTTCCCGGGGCCGGGTTGTGGACGGTCTTGAGGCGCAAGACGGTACCCCGCTGCTGGGGGTTGCCATCCTTGCCGGTCCGCTTCCTCTTATCACCTGTGCGGACGGGCTCCTCCTCCTCGTCATCGGTGTCATACTCCTCTCCGTTCTTCGTGTGGGGCGGCTGCGGCTGCGGCGGCGGGCCGTCACCAGGGACGCGCGGGCTGCTGAAGAACTGGTTGGCCCATCTCACGACGTGGTCGTCCGACTCCAGGCCACTCTGATTCTGCAATCGAAAATCAATGATTCCATCGAGGTGGATCAGAGTCGGCCGGGCCGCGGGATCTTCCACCAGACACATCGAGACGGTCTTTCGAAGGTTTCCGTCGATGTGACTGAATCTTGGGTCTCCGAGGGCGCTTCCGTACGTCACTTCTCCGCCGAATTTCCACCCGACGACGGGATCTTGGAATTTTGCCCCTGTAATGGCACACCACATCTTTATCACCAAGTTAGCCGTGATCAAAAAGTAGATGCTCAGGGGTTGATACTCACGATGACTCCAACCTGGTAGATGTTGCAGGGCATACCGTAGTTACCAGCAATTGATGGCTTATTGGCTTCGAGGAACATGTTGGATCCGCCGTCGTTGAAGGGCCGGAGTGAGTCCCAAGACCTATGAAATTGTTCCTAAAAAGGTCAGTATGTCCACGAATGTTGTTTGTGTATGTTTACTCACTGGCGTGTGGTAGCCCGGCTTTCCTAGCGAGCGAGATCTCCAGAATATTTCCTCTCTAAGAAAAGAAAACTCATGTCAGCAAAGGTGAGCACTTTGAATGAAGGCAAAACTTACGTGAATTCATCCGGCTTTTGATTAGCTTCGTCAAAGAACTTGGCACAGCCAAAGTCCGAGATCTGGATTGGCGTTAGCTTGTAATCAGTTTGTGACAAGTTGTGACATTACCTTGAAGAGCGGCATAGGGCCGTGGGGCTCTAAGCTCACTAGGACTGTACACAAAGTTAGCAATACTATTCACAAAGTGATTCATGGCACGCTTACTGTTCTTGGGGTCCAGATCAAAATGAACAGTTTGCTGGGGCTTCTTGGTGCCGGGGATGTACTCTTCGATGGGATTGTTGGGATCCCAGTCAGGGTGATCCCGTTGGTAGTTCTCCTTTGGGGGGTATCCAATTCCAATAAGCCCCTTGATGACTGCGTGGTTCATGTCAGTATATCAGAAATATGTGTCAAAGTCCGGGGCTCAACTTACGGCACTTGAACAAAAGCCAAAGAGCCTTATTGGGCCAAGGTCTTCCAGATCGACTGGACTTGTTCAGCCATGTATGAAGGCTCTTCCCGTTGGCATACTCCATCAAGATGAAGCTGCGCTCCCGCTGGATCTTGATGTCCCAATTTTTGTCCCGAGCCTCTGTACTCGATCTGGGCATATATGGTCTCTTACCCTCGTTTTCGGCGTCTCTCTTGTCGTTGATTTCTTTCGTAAAGTCAAGGATTTGGACAATGTGCTTGGCCCCCTTGAATTTCTAGAGCAACGAGTTAGCAAAGGATATCTGATGACGTTTGGGGCAAACTTGCGTTGAGAGCCTTCTGCTCCAGCTTGATCGAGTCATACGAGGCGAAAGGGCGGGTCTTTTCAATCTTCATCACGCAATCCGTCCTCACATTGCGGTTGCCTCTGTGCTCGACAAGAGCAGCGATGCCGAAGCCGCCAGCGGCCAAGATTCTCTTGAGGGTGATGCCGTAGCCCTTGGCCATTCGGTTTCCGTCGGGGCCATACTGTTGTTGCGCTATCTGCTGGTGGATGTCGTCCATGTATTGTCTTCCGGCGTACGGGCTCCTGACTGTGTGCATTGGATTGAACTGACCCAAAGGCTGCGCTACGATGGTGCTGCCATCTTGCGCCTTTACCATGAGGTCTCCCCTGATTCGGGCAGCTTCCAGCCGGGTTCTATGCATTACCATCTGCCTATTTCTCTCTTTCGAATCCGGTGCTTGGGGTGCTAGGGCTTGAGGTGCTGGGGCTTGGAGTGCTGGGCCAGCCATATTGTTGCCCGCCATTGGGTTTCCTTGGTAGTTGGCCATGTTGGTTGTCTGAGAGTGCGATGAAATTTGTCGATGGAGTCAATGTAAAACAGAAAAGGTGTGTGAGCTGATTGTATTATTGAGTGGATGTTGGATTTTGGTATTCATTCTGATGTGAGACTGGACAATATGATATATATACAACGTTGTATAGCTGCCAATTCAACTCGAAGGAAGCCGTACAAAGGAGACATTTTGAGAGTGAGTATACAAAGGCTATTGTTTTTGTCGAAGACATTCTTTATGGATCGAGGATACAAAACCCCAATATCATTGTCCACTTGGAATGATCAATCATCGCAGCCTTTGAACCATCCATTGTGGCCTTCATTCCTTCCAAGTTGCCTCGAAGCCTTTGCTGCTGGCCGGTTGTTTTCCAAATCCGGAGGCTGGACAATGACACCTCAACTCAAGTCCGAGTTGCATAAAGGGAGCATTCTTGTTCGATACGAAAGAAATCGCGATTTAGTTTCAAAGATATATTTGGCTGGAAGTTGTTGACTTGTCGAACTGCAGTCATCGCCGCTTGGCGTCTCTTTCGTTAGAACAAGTAGACTGAAGAAAACAAGTAGGGTGTGTAGTCAGGGCGCGGCGAAGCCAGGCCCACCCGGATGAAATGCCAATGGGGCCAGCTCCGTCGACACCCCACGCGCCCGCGCACGTGGATACCAATCGCTCCGGCAAATGCGCCGCGATGCATGAGAGGCGATGGGAAGTGCGATATTCCGCGTTGGCAGCGGCGTGGCTGCGCTTCGCTAGTCCGGCCGACTTCAGCCTGTGATTTTGATCCCAAAATCTGGCGTGCATGGCTGTTGGTCAGAACAAAAGGGTCTTATCGTCTGCAACGGTCTACGACGTTAACTAGCGCCGCGTGATAGTCGAGCAACAGTTGGGAAGCACATTGACAGTTGAGTCTCAATGGGCACAATTCTGCAGAGAAGCGTTGGTGATGGAGAAAAGAAGCCAATTAGCCGCGCCGGGTGGTATTTAGGCTAAATGCCATTTAATCGGGTCTCGGCGAAATCATTCTCCACAAAAGCACCTTTCCAGCGGGGCCTGGAGAGAAACAGCGATTGACAGAGAGAGCACCTCTAGAGGGCCAGACCAGCAGAGCGGGTACCGTTGGAAAATGTGAGGCAACTTCGATCAAGGACACTCCGCGACAGATGATACAAGCATCAATGTCTCACGGAAAGCCCTGTGCAAAAGCGGCTACCCCACGCGGTGTTTCCCACGGCCTTAATTGACAAGCCAACTTTGAACTGGCAGGTCCGCATCGCGCTTGGAGGGGGTGCACAAGGCCCTTCGCGGCAAGAGTGCGGTGGTGTAAGACAGCCAGTGGCAGCCCACCAAAGCCGCCAGCATCAGAGTTGAATGACAACCATGCGAGTTTGGGTTACCGTTGCTTCCTCTTGGCTTCCCGCGAAACTTCACAGGGTTCCAGCGACAACGAGGCGACGGGAAGCTTGAACTCCAAATTTACCCCAAGTTCGGGTCTTCTTCACGGTCCCCTCAAGGGCTCAGGCTGATTTAAACGCACAAATGGGCGCGTTGCGTCGTGCAGCGGCCACCCCATCTCAGTCATCTCACGCCTCTCTCCACTCCGAGCTGGCCGCCTCTGCTAAAGGTCCGGTGCATTATCTTTGCCTATTGATATTTATCCATGCCAATCGCTTCCCCAAAGTATCGCCGCGTCGCAGACCGGGTCCGGCAGCCGCCTGAACCCTCTCTCCAGCGGCCACCCCTGGCTGGTTGGCTCGGCCTGGGGGCAAACCATCTGTGTGTCGACTTTTTCCTATCGGTGCCTTCCCCCGCCAGCCTCTCATGCGTTTAATGAGCCGCCAGTGCTGTACGGTGACGGAACCATAGGCTGTTTGAATCTGGAGACTGGTTGGGGAAAGGTACGATTTGTCGATGCAGGGGATGTCAGAGGGAGGTGTATCTATAGTCACCATGCTCTGCCGTACCTACAATCCGAGCCAGACCACTCTTGCCTCGTGTCCATCTGGTCAATCTGCCTGGCAACCACAGACCCAAGGCACCTGACGTATGTGTGTACCTGTTATAAATACTACTTGCTTTGCCTCCTCTCCATCCCAAATGCTGCCTGTCTCTCTCCTCTTCCCTCCCAAGTCTTTTCGTGTGCCTCTTGATACCCCCATTCTCCTTCTGGCACCATCTTCCTTTCTCCCAATCAGAACGACAACCAGACGTCACAATGGCTGTCCCCAACATCAAGCTTAACAGCGGCTTTGAGATGCCCCAGGTGGGCTTCGGTCTGTGGAAGGTCGACAACGCCATCGCCGCCGACACCGTCTACGAGGCCATCAAGGCCGGTTACCGTCTCTTCGACGGCGCCTGTGGTAAGTAAACAACACCAGTCTCTTCGTTGCGATCCAGGACACAGGGAGGGGAGCAGATGCTCAATCGCCGCCACGACGACGCAGCCAGAAATGGTACGATCGCGGGAGAAGGCCTAAGAGCAAGAAAGCGTGTCGAAAAACATGTCGCCCGCAGTTAATGGCCCGTGGTGGTGGTGGTCTGCTGGATCCCCTCATGATTTCTGGAAGCCTGAGTTACCCCTCCTTCACCCCACCAAAAATGATCGGTGCGCATTTCTGCAGGCGCCGATTTTCCCATCAGCGCAATTCCGCCGGAAAGCTCTCCGCAACATCCCTGCACCCCAGCCTATTTCATACCCCTGCCCTGTCACCACTCACTTACACTCGGGGCTCGCCCCCGTCTTCCCCGACATCAATCACATGAACCAAATTTCGGGCCTACATCACACGCATCCGACTCCAAGTGTGCACACAATCTTGATCCTAACGGCGCTTCTTCTCTAGACTATGGCAACGAAGTCGAGTGCGGCCAGGGTGTTGCCCGCGCCATCAAGGAGGGCATCGTCAAGCGTGAGGAGCTCTTCCTCGTTTCCAAGCTCTGGAACACCTTCCACGATGGCGACCGCGTAGAGCCCATCGTCCGCAAGCAGCTTGCCGACTGGGGCATCGACTACTTCGACCTCTACCTCATCCACTTCCCCGTCGCCCTCGAGTACGTCGACCCCTCCGTCAGATACCCTCCCGGCTGGCACTACGACGGCAAGTCCGAGATCCGCCCCTCCAAGGCCTCTATCCAGGAGACCTGGACTGCCATGGAGAGCCTCGTTGCCAGCGGCCTCTCCAAGAGCATCGGTGTCTCCAACTTCCAGGGACAGCTCCTCTACGACCTCCTCCGCTACGCCAAGATCCCCCCCGCCACCCTCCAGATCGAGCACCACCCCTACCTCGTCCAGCCCGACCTCATCAAGCTAGCTGCCAACGAGGGTATCGCCGTTACCGCCTACTCTTCCTTCGGCCCTGCCTCCTTCAAGGAGTTCAACATGGAGCACGCCACCGACTTTGTTCCTCTGTTCGAGGAGCCCACCGTCTCTGAGATTGCCAAGAAGCACGGCAAGACCAACTCTCAGGTCCTCCTCCGCTGGGCCACCCAGCGTGGCCTTGCTGTCATTCCCAAGACTAGCCGCAAGGAGATCCTCGCTCAGAACCTCGACTGCACCAGCTTCGATCTCGAGCAGTCCGAGATTGACAAGATCAGCAGCCTGGACCGCAAGACTCGCTTCAACCAGCCCGCAAACGTAAGCTTCCCTGAATGTTTTTCGACTTCAAGGCAGAATTTAACACTTAGTAGTACTTCCCCACTGAGAAGCTCTGGATCTTCGGTTAAGCGGTCTGCATATGATGCATTGTCGATCCAAACTAATAATACGTACCTGCAATATCATCAGCACCTGCCTATCAAAGTGGCATGTTAGTAGTCCACAACTGGCGGTGTGCAAGGGAACCATATCGGGTGTTTGTCGAACCACGCACTGTGCGTCGATTGTATCTAGATAGCCGTTTCCCTTCGGCATGACTGTGATCTGCCGTTACAATACAACCAAAGCCGTGACCAAGACAGTCTGTTGCTCCCGTTTGTACAGCATGCTGCAGCGTGTTTTCGCCAATGTCAGAATAGCCGCCCGCCCGTCCTTGAAAATGCTCCCTTCCATGCTCAGCAAACATAATGGTCAAGAGAGAGCGCTCGGTAAAGAGGTATCTCGAGTGAAGAAAAAAGATCCCGATATGTTCATCTGCCCAACCGCCCCGAGGATCTAACCAAACGCCGTTGTAACGCCATGCCGGCCTCGTAAATTCATGCTACAGAGTGAATCAAGCTGCTATGTCCGGACAAAGGCTGCGAAAATTGGTTAGCAATCTTGGTTTCGACCACTCAACCTGTGATTGTACACTTACTTGCGTCGATCTGGGATAATTGGGGTAGCGCCAGGCGGACTTTGTTGCGGTACACGGCCGGTCCCCTGAGTTGCAACGGGTTGCCCTCAAAGTAGACCGTCGTCAGGTGCTCCTTGTCCTTCAGCTCCTTCTCGACCTCGTTAAAGTCGGAGATCTGGTTGTAGCTGGCCCAAAACTCCTCGAGGTTCTTGAGCGGCTTGAGGCCCTTGACGCTCGCGACGGCGTTGTTGGAGATGTCGAGAACGCGCAGCTTCTCGTTCTGCTCGATGCCCTCGAGGGAGGTGAGGGCGTTGTGGGAGATGTACAGCTCCTCGAGGCTGGGCACGTCCTTGAGGGGCGAGAGGTCTCGGATGCGGTTGGACTGGATGCTGAGGAGCCTGAGGTTGGGCAGGCCGCCGAGGCCGGTGAGCTCTGTGATCTTGTTCTTTGCGACCCACAGCTCCTCGAGGTTCTTGAGGGAGTCAAGGTTCTGAAGGACACGGATGCGGTTGGAGCCGAGCTCGAGGCTGGTGAGGTTGACAAGGCCGTCGAGGTTCTCAATGGTGCCGACCTTGTTGGCGACGAGGAAGAGCTCCTTGAGCTTGGTGAGGTGGTTGACGCGCTTGATGTGCTTGATCTTGTTGAAGCTGAGGTCGAGGCTGGTGAGGTTGGTGAGGTCCTCGAGGCCGCGGATGTGGGAGATGAGGTTGTCGTAGAAGTCGAGGTCCTCGAGCGTCGGGGCGAGGGCGGAGAGGCCGTCAATGTCTTGGATACTGTTCTGGCGGAGGCACAGGCGGACTACTTTTGTGAAGCGCTCGAGGCGGAGGGCAGGAATGGAGGCGACGCGGGCGTGGGAGACGATGAGCTCGTCAGTGTCTAGGTCTTCGCCGTCGAGGAGGTCTGTGGGAGGGGAATGACGAGTTAGCCTCTTGAACGTTTCTTCACAACTTTTTTTTGCGGCTCCACATGCGGGAGTGAGGGCATCAGCAAACTTGCCTTCATCCGCGGGGAGTTCCTCGCCGGGGACAACGTTCTCGTCGTCAGACTCCGGGTCTGAGAGCACCTCCGGGTTCGCGAGGACGGCAGTCCGCTGTACTCTGAGCTTGCCGTCCCATCCTTTGCTATTCCTCATGCCGGGGCTGGCCTGGCCATCGTGGCGCGGGGAGCCTTCTTCTTCCGGGAGCTCGATGCGCGGCGACTGCCTCGGCGAGTGCTCGGTAGGGGTTTTGGGGTCGACGGAGCCGGGCATGGTGTGGATTGCGCTCGTCTCGTCGCGGATGGGTTGTAGAATTGGTGGTTGTGTGGTTTTCAGCGTCGCTCCTGTGCGGGTCTCGAAGTTGGTCGGTTTTCGAAAATGGCGGGGAAGAGTAAGGAAGGACTAGCGGTGATGATGATTTCTCAGCGCAGTTCGCGGCGGTTTAAGCGGGGGTTGGAGACGGGAGTTCGGTTGGATGAAGAGGGGTGGTGGTGAAGAAATATGGAGGTCGGGAAGCCGTTCGAGATGGAGGGGTTATGTTGTTTACAGGACGTGCAGAATCAGGATTCCGTGTCGCATGCTGGGATAAGGATGGGAAATCTTGATCTGGCGTCGGTTTGACTGTCAGCCCGGTCCTGGGTCTGTCTGATTTATTTATTATGCCCGCGGGCCTGGAGAGGGGAACAACACATGCATGTGGTGGTACAACTGCGAGTGACTGAGTGAACGCACTGTAAACTGCCCGCAGATTATGAGGTGATAAGTGACTGGACGGGGATGGGATGGCTGGTGGGACTGGCGCAGCGTCACAGGCCACCAGCACCAGGTACCTTCCGAAGAGACAGCCCAGAATACACTGCACTGGCAAGGTTTGGGGACCGCTGGTTGGCGGAATGGTTCCAGATCCACGAGGGACGTTTGGCGCTAGAGTATGACGTCCCAATGGGTCTCGTCCTGCGAGAATCACGCCGCGGAATGGGAGCCCAGCAGTACCTTACTACCTATTACCTATTCGCAGGCAGGCAGGTATCATCAGCGGTTTGTCATTTGAATGGAAGCGTCTTCAGGCGACGGCGGGCACTGCGGGGTCGGGCAGGTCACCCGGCCATCACAGAGGGACATAGAGATGCAGCCGCCTTCCATGCTGGCTCAATGGAAGCCCATTGTCGCTCGAATGGCCCCTGCAACGAAAGACGGTGGGTGCCGTCACAGTGGTTCAGCGCTGTCTCATCTCACCATCATGTCGGGTTTTGGCACTTTCCCATGTTTCCCTGTAAACCTCCTCGGAGGAAGGGGGAAAAATGAAGAGGTGCAGTCGACGAAAGCATCTTGTCTACCTGCCTCAAATTGGGCTGGAATCCTACGGGCCTCATACCTCGAGCCGCCTTCGTTGCTGCCCGCATTGTCTCGCCTATTGTCTCTGGACGGAACGGGCTGCATGCCGACCACATTGGACGAGTCCAGTCGTCTTTGAACACATGCGCGCCATGTCCTGACCCTCAGTCCGCGACGGACCCTGATTTGCGAATTACCCGGCCCCAATTGAACTGCTGCCGCAACTTGCTGCCGCCGCGCTGCACTCAGAACGATCTTCCATCCTTCCATTCTCAGGGTCCGGCGACACAACCACCACCACACCACGGCCCGACACACGCCTCCATGTCTCGCAAACGGTTGTGATGCATGCCATCCGCCCCTCCTCGATTGGGCATCTCCTGCGCCGTACTCGTCGTTCGCACGCACCTCTCGTCACCTCACCATGGCGAGCCACGTCTCTGACGGGTAGTCTACCGCTGCCGCCGCTGTCGCGCCTCGGCGTCACCACCCAGAAGAGGCAATTGCATGATGCGTTCCTCTTGCCCCCTCTGTACTTCACCGGTCTTCTTCTCGCCTTATGGACGTGGAAGTGTTTTATGATGGTCGTCTTCCAGAATAAGATCATTTACATGCCAGGACTGCCGCCCACCGCGCGCCGCGAGCGGATCGAGGACTACGAGAAACAGTGCTGGGGTGTGCGTTGGGAGGAGAAAAGGGTCCAGGCCGCCGATGGGACGGATCTGGCACTATGCGTGGCCTCGGTGACATCCACTGGCGACGAGAAGACCACGTCGCCCACGGAGCCCCTCGCGGTGCCGTCCATCTACGTCCTCTACTTTCAGGGTCCGCCCCATCCCCTGCTGTCCTCCGCTGGCGGTTAGCAATAAGCATCAAAGGCTCACCACGATTGCGATTAGGAAACGCATCGTCCATTCCCCCACGACTGCCGGACCTATCATGGGTCCTGCGGACGCTGCAGCGCAGCAAGCGGCCCGCGCGATATACAATGGTGTGCCTGAGCTACCGCGGTTACTGGAGGTCGAGAGGCCGCCCCTCTGAGAAGGGCATCAACCTGGATGCGCAAGCGGCTCTGCGCTGGGTTGGGCAGATGCACGAGGATAACGTCGGGCACAGGCAGCAGCAGCCACTAGAGCTGGTGATCTGGGGTCAGAGCATCGGCTCCGGGGTAGCCACGAACCTCGCAGCGTGGGAGGGGTTCCCGCCCACGTTGCGGCTAAGGTCGTTGATCCTGGAGACGCCGTTCACGTCCGTACGGGACATGTTGGGTGAGCTGTATCCCCAGAAATGGGTACCGTATCGTCACCTGTGGCCGTTCTTGCGCAACCATCTGGATAGCTTGGCCAACATCGCGGGGATTGCCAAGAACCATCGGGTCAGTTCGGGCCAGGACAAGCCTTGTGTTACTATAGTGGAAGCTGAGAGGGATGAGCTAGTGCCGGCGGACCACGGTGCGAGGCTGGTCCGGCGCTGCGAGGAGTTCGGGCTACCGGTTAAGAAGAAGACGGTTCGTGGTGCTTTCCACAACGATGCCGTCATTAGACTGGAGGGTCGTCAAGCAGTCGCGGACGCCATTGAGCAGGTCGCGGCTAAAATCTGATTGCTAGCATGACATCAAGTGAAGTACTAGGCACACCAGACGTTGTGACAACATCGCGATATTGATGATCACAACGGAACCATGTGTCATTGAAATTGGGCAAGACCCTCGATTTCTTACCATGACTTCGGATTTCGCCTGTCTCTTGACTCCTCCGGGGTGTCTCGGGGCTGGGACCGTTCCCGAATCCCCCGACGTATAAATTTTGAAGAGAATTGTCGTGAATTCGTGATACGGATAGTCAGGAGTATGTCAATTTACGTCTACGACATCTTCCGGAATCCCGGGTCACATCCGGGCGGGCTGGCAAAGATCGAGCCCGGCCTATGGCGTGCAAAGGTTCGTCACAGCTTCTAGGTTCAGACCCATGGGCGGCGCACGGTTCCGTACCCAAAACTCTTCTCAACCTCGACTCTCAGTGACAAAGGACAAATGACCCGTTTTGTGTCTTCCGAAGAAATGTTTGAAGACGAATTGACCCGTAACAGGGGACAATCACCTCGGCATCTGGTAGACGACGAATTTGCCTTCCGTGTAACACAGTTCAGGCAGGGGGCAAAGCATACGTTTCTTCTTCCAGCTTGGTGATAGGCAGGATGGCAGAGCACTGACACTCTCTCGCTGCCTTTACGTGGATCTTTCCAGGCAGCTTCGTCGAGCATCTTCACGGCGTCGGCAGTCCTGTGCTCGCGTCCAGAGGTACTCTTGTGCATGCAAGGTGCTGTGAGGCTACCTCGCCGCCGGAGTTGAGGACCCCAACCCCCTAAGATTGGCACGCTGTACCAAACCGGGCTCTCTGACTCGCTTGGTGTGCAGTTGCACCACCTCATCCCTGCGGAATGGCTTGCTACTAGCATCCGCCCGGTTCGCACTGCCCGCCAGTGCCCATATCCGGCGTGAAAACTGGAGGCAGCCAGCCCGGCGCACGCAAAACCCCCCTAAGTCTGGTCATGTGATCTCGCATTTCATACGTGAGGAGTGGAGAACCCACCGACGCGTGTGCAGGGGTGGGAAACGCGTCCAATGACCTCCCCCATCACCAGTCGCCTCAGTCCTCGCAAAAAGCAGCAAGGCCTCGGGGGAGAGATGTAGGGGACCGTGCTGGGATGTTATCAGGCTGTATATATAGATTCGTGAGCCCCGTTTCTACCCAAAAATTCTCGCCTCTCTCTCCTCTCTCTCACGGGCGCCTTAGGTAGGTCAGCAATCTCTCTCAAGTCAATCAATCACGACAACCATTTTTCACCCATCTTTTGAACCATTTCCTCTTTTTCCGATCGCTTTTTAGTTCAGTTGATTTCCGCTCTTTTAATTCAATACCTACCATTGTCGCTCCGCAAGCCCGACCGGTCGGTCATTCACCAGCACGATGTTCGCCAGACGCTATGAACAGCCCCCCTCGCAAAGCCACAGGACCAGCTTCTCCAAGGGCCACAAGTCAAACAAGTCAACTTCATCATTCAGCAAGACCAGCGGCGTGTCAAAACGCCGCGACTCCCGTGCGACCAGACGGCCCAACACGGCCACTTCATCAAGCACTCATGACACCGAAATGAGCAAGTAAGTTTCGGCCGTGATTCATGTGCTCTGTATAGTCTGCTAACACTATGCACCAACAGCAACCTTACCTCCGCGATCGTGACACTCGTCGTCGGCACCGAACAGCGTCTCTTCGCCGCCCACGAAGACGTCCTCTGCGCATCCCCCTTCTTCCAGGCCGCCCTCCGAGGAGGTAACTTCATCGACGGCTCGCCCTCGTCCTCCTCAGCACCTGCCAGGCGCATCGCTCTGCCCGACGAAGAACCTGAGATCTTCTCGTCGGTTCTCGAATACCTTTACAAGGGCGACTACTATCCGCGACTGGTGCACAACAAGAGACGCAACTCGTGGGAGATTGAGCAGCTCTCTGAGGACGGCAAGGGCATCGAGTCGACCGTCTACCACCACGGTGTCGACGGCGACTTGCTCAAGGATACCGTCATCTACTGTGCTGCTGAGAAGTACGGGCTCGAGGAGCTGAAGCGTGTGTCTCTGAGGAAGCAGGGTCTTCGTGAGTACTTCTTGAAATGGCCTTTAAGATGTCTATACTAACCACCGCCACAGAATCCGGCATCCAGTGCAGCACCATTCTCTCATCGGCCAGATACGCCTACGCCCACACCCCCGACAGCGACTCCAAACTGCGAGCCCACTACCTTGCCCTGATCATCCGCAGCCGCAGCACTTTCAAGCGCAGCGGTACGATGCAGCTGGAGATGTACAACGGCGGCACCCAGCTGTTCTTTGATCTCTTCGTGGCGCTGTGCAACCACGTTGATGACATCTCGACTGCGTGAGT